AATTTAGGGGTGAGATTTTTGGTAATTAAAAAATAATAAAATATGATCAGTTCTTTGAAATGACATGATGTGTAGTTGAATTAATCTATAACCTCTATAAAACAATGCTGTAAAAAATTTTCTTGGCAGTGAATAAACCTGATAAACAAAATAGCCTTTGGCAGGACTCATTTTCCATTTTAATTCTCTCTTGAGGACGGGAAAGACAGAATAACTTCTAGGTCATTAAAGTAAAAATTTACTGAGGTTTTTGAATCAATACTTAAAAATTAGCTCATTTAATATTTCTTTCTAAAAACATGAACACAGATGTTTTTGCCTCTCTGCCTTGAACCTTTATGCTTTTGCAAAAAAATGTTCAGAATGTCATGTTAAATCCCCATAAGTGTGTTCTTGCAACAGGAATATGAATACTAATAAATCCCAAGTTGGTGATAAAAAACTCATTAAAAAAAGAATATCACATGCAAGTCCATTCATAACTGGAAAGACTTAAATAGCATGTGCTTGATGAAGCACAGGATTTTTTATGTATATATGAAATACTAAATTATAGAATATTAAATATCCATCAATCCAAGTGTATTTGAAAGCAGCAAAAAATGTTCACATACCTTTTCTTTTCCAGAAATCTGATTATTCAAACAAGAAAGAAAAATATCTGTAGCCTAAGAGAATCTACTATTATACAAGCGACCTACTAAACTCTATATGCTAAATTTTGAGAAGATCTTAAAACTTTGTTCTTTTATTAATAAACAGTAATGAAAGCACTAATGGATAAAAGCTCCTAAAATAGTTTTTATAGTTTTAATACAATAATTAGGCCATCATGGAACTGCCTAATTTTAGGGTATCTGGAGACCTTGATCTGTTAACCCTATTTCTTATTCTCTATAATAACAGTAATTAATTAGTATATGCTAACTAGTATATTAACAATAATAAATTAATATATGCTGGTAATTAATTTTACATAATATAGTTATGTGTGTTTCAGACAGAGAAGTGTTTACATTGGAAATCAAATTTTTTATAATCCATATCTCAGAAATAAGCACTATTAAGAATTTAGTGTAAATATTTGTCTAGATTTTTACTATCATCTACATTCATATGTATATGTAAGTGTAGATTAAAAACAGAATCATATTATATCTATTTTAACTTCCTTTATACCTTCCTGCATATATATAACAAGTTTTGCCACATCAGTACATATATAAAGTTGTTTCTATTTAGTAATCAAACAGTATTCTAAAGAAGAGTTGTATGTTAATTAAATAAATCAATATCCAAATGGTAAATACTTAGGTTGTTTGGATTTTTTGCTGTTATAAACTCTAATATCAAGTATCTTATACTCTTAAGGAAGAATGTATTTCCAGTAAAGGGGATTCATCTCTTATTTTGTCAAATCACTTACACAAACTACACAGTGCTTCTTACAAGATTACATTTTTCATTGTGGACTAGATCATTACAATTATTTAAGTAAGAATTTATAAGAAAGATATCCTTTGGAATGAGTTTGGGAAGATAAATATGTCATACAAAAAAAACTAAGAGGAGTACCCTAAGACATAAAATATATATGTTATAAAGTTATAAAGAATAGTGATACAATGAGCACCTATATACCTAATATCAGAAATAAAATATTACCATCACTGTTAGAGAGACCCATGTTCACCACCCTTCCTCTCTATGTCCCAAAGGTAATTTTCTTAAATATTTTGTTCCTTATTATTATGATTTTCTTTATATTTTTACCACATAAGTATCACTAAATTAAATCTCTCTAAATAATATGTATTTTTCAATTTTATAAAGCGGAACCATGTTGTAATTGAGCTATTTTTATTTCTGCATAAAATTATCTTCTTTAAGGTTTGTCATAGATATAGCAATCATGAAATTCATATGGAAAAATAAAAGACCCAGAATAGCAAAAGCAATTCTAAGCAGGAAATGTGAATCTGGAGGTATAGCGATACCAGATTTCAAACTGTACTACAGAGCAATAGTAACAAAAACAGCATGGTACTGGTACCAAAATAGGCAGGTGGACCAATGGTACAGAATAGAGGACACAGAGACCAATCCACAAAAATTACAACTTTCTTATATTTGATAAAGGGGCTAAAAGCATGCAATTGAGGAAGGATAGCATCTTTAACAAATGGTACTGGGAAATCTGGAAATCCATATGCAACAAAATGAAGCTGAACCCCTTTCTCTTGCCGTGCACAAAAGTTAACTCAAATGGATCAAAGAGCTTGATATCAAATCAGAGACTCTGCGTCTGATAGAAGAAAAAGTTGGCTCCGATCTACATATCGTGGGGTTGGGCTCCAAATTCCTTAAAAGGACACCCATAGCCCAAGAGTTAATAACAAGAATAAACAAATGGGATTTACTTAAACTAAAAAGTTTTTTCTCAGCAAGAGAAACAATAAGAGAGGTAAATAGAAAGCCTACATCCTGGGAACAAATTTTTACCCCTCGCACTTCAGATAGAGCCCTAATATGCAGAATATACAAAGAAGTCAAAAAATTAAACAATAAGATAACAAATAACCCAATCAACAAATGGGTCAAGGACCTGAACAGACACTTCTCAGAGGAGGACATACAATCAATCAACAAGTACATGAAAAAATGCTCACCATTTCTAGCAGTCAGAGAAATGCAAATCAAAATCACACTAAGATACCATCTTCCTCCAGTAAGATTGGCAGCCATTATGAAGTCAAACAACAATAAGTGCTGGCAAGGATGTGGGGAAAAGGGTACACTTGTACATTGCTGGTGGGACTGCAAATTGGTGAGGCCAATTTGGAAAGCAGTATGGAGATTCCTGGGAAAGCTGGGAATGGATCCACCATTTGACCCAGCTATCGCCCTTCTCGGACTATTCCCTGAGGATCTTAAAAGAGCATACTATAGGGATACTGCCACATTAATGATCATAGCAGCACAATTCACAATAGCTGGACTGTGGAACCAACCTAGATGCCCTTCAATAGATGAATGGATAAAAAAAAAATGTGGCATTTATACACAATGGAGTATTACGCAGCACTAAAAAAATGACAAAACCATGGAATTTGCAGGGAAATGGATGGCATTAGAGCAGATTATGCTAAGTGAAGCTAGCCAATCCTTAAAAAACAAATGCCAAATGTCTTCTTTGATATAAAGAGAGCAACTAAGAACAGAACAGGGAGGAAGAGCATGAGGAAAAGATTAACATTAAACAGAGACGAGTTGGGGGAGAGAAAGAGAGAGAGAAGGGAAAGCATATGGAAATGGTAGGAGACCCTCAATGTTACACAAAATTACATATAAGAGGTTGTGAAGGGAAGAGGGGGGAAACAAGGGAGAGAATTGAACAACAGCAGATGAGGTAGAGAGGGAAGATGGGAGGGGAGGGGAGGGAGGATAGTAGGGGATAGGAAAGGTAGCAGAATACAACAGTCACTAATATGCCATTATGTAAAAATGTGAATGTGTAACCGATGTGATTCTGCAATTTGTATTTGGGGTAAAAATAGGAGTTCATAACCCACTTGAGTCAAATGTATGAAAGATGATATGTCATGAGCTTTGTAATGTTTTGAACAACCAATAAAAAAAAAAGGTTTGTCAACATTATTACTTGTAATTACAATTCATTTATTGTCTGCTAAATAATCTCTTATTATAAGAAGATATCATAATTTACTTATTCATTCTTATGCTGATTGGCATTATGAGTTGTTTCAAGTTTTCTGCTATTTAAAACAATGCTGCTATGAACACTTTTGTGCATGCTTCTTGGTGTATGTAGGCAAGAGCTCCTCTAGGGAAGGAGTCTCTGGGTCACAGATTATGCCACATAGGCAGTTTTATTAGAAAATGACAAATGATCTTATTTATTTTCTTATAGCTCATAAAATTTTCTAAAGTGGTTACATCAACTTATACATTCACTAATATAGTTTATATGTTCTATTTGTTTCAAAACTTTGCCAATAATTAATAACAACAAATTTAAAAATTTTTGTCAAACAGTGAATTTGTAAAAGCTTATCTTGCTGTTTTTAGGTGAGCAATACCTGTAATCCCAACAATTCTAAAGGCTGAGGTGAAGGTTCACAAGATTCTAGGCCAGCCTCACTAACTTGGTGAGATCCTCTGCACCTTGATGGGATGCAGTCTCAAAAAATAAAAAGGGCTGGAGATGTAGCTTGGTAGTAGAGTGCCCCTGAGTTCAGTTTCCAGGACAAAATAACCCTATAACCCTATAATTCTTGCTTTCTATAACCCTATAATTCTTGCTTTCTGATATGTGTATAATGTTTAACATACATTATTTTGTTTATTTTATCTGGGTCCCACAGATACTTTTGAACTCTCCATATTTCATTAAATTTTCTCTTTGAAAAAGGATTTTTGCATCAGCAATAGAGAACAGGATGCGAATGTTACAGAATACCTAATAAGGAAACCGGAGTATTTGCTTCTCCTAATTTGGGTCTTCAAAGTTTCTCTCTGTAAGATAAGACATGTTTTGAAGCTCACTATAAACTTTTTCTTGTGTGCTCTACACTTACAAAGTGCTTAACAACTAACTCATTTATCATTTGGATTATCCATCATTAATTGCCCTCTGCCTTACCTAAAAACTGACTGAAAAGGGTTGATGTGACTATAGATATTAAGTAATATATAACTCAGTGCTTTAAAGATAACATTCCATTTTCACAGAGCTTGCTTATATTACAAAACTAATAAAATGATATTTTCCAAGATAAACAAAAAATAAATAGAGAATCTTAATATTTATGTCAAGAAATGAGTACAAGCTTCTGAAAGAAATGTTATGGATATTGGGTCTTCATCCTATTAGCTGTAGCAGTTTCAAGAATTTAATACATTGGTAATTACTAATCTCCTGTGGGGTGGTGGGAAGTATCCTCAAATAAGAGGAATAATCTGGAAGGACTAAAAATTACCTGTAAAGTACAATTCATCATCCTTATTATATAGTCAAACTGTTGATGGTCCAATATTGCCCGGTTTTGCTGTACATGCAAGCCCAGTTCATCAGTGAGACACTGTCTTGCTGCTTTTCCTTTAAGGGCTCTCAGCGCAGCAGGAAGGGTCTAAGGACAAGAAGGACACAAGTGACCAAAAGGTACCACAGGGAAAAAACAAAATTAAAAAACCAAAATCTTTCAAACACTAACACTGAAAATTCAAATACATCCTATCAACTATTTAACAAAGTTATTAGTAAAATGAAATTCCTAGGAAAGAAGTGATTTACTAGAAAGATGATTAATAAATAGATAGGTTTATAGTTCTATTTATTTGTAAGCCAGCATGAAAAATAAGCAGAATGAGTTTATGTGGTAAATTGAAAAAACATTAACTTTTTCCCTGAGACTTAACAAGATGTTAGTGACCAAACTGACAATTGCTTCAGAACACAACACAAAGCTACATACAGACAGACACTTTCTATAACTGGCCAAGTATCCATAGTAAGAATAGAAGGAAAAATTATGATGACAGATTTAAAAAAAATCCACAAGCGGGATGCAGTGGTGTACCCCTGTAATCCCAGGGGCTTGGGAGGCTGAGACAGGAGAATTGCAAGTTCAAAGCCAGCCTCAGCAACTTTGAGGCACTAAGCAACTCAGTGAGACCCTATCTCTAAATAAATGACAAAAAATAGGGCTGGGGGTGTGACTCAGTTGTCGAGTGCCCCTGAGTTCAATCCCTGGTACCAAAACCAACCAACCAAACATACAAAAACCCCACAAACAATTTCATACTTTTAAATTGGTCAGCTATTTCATTACTACTCAATATTAGTGGATGACTAGATAGTTTTACAATCTCTTCTCCTCATTTCAATATGAAAATAAGTTAAAAAAAAACTCAGGAAAACTTCAACAGATATCTCTAGGTTTATGTATTAAAACTCTTTGACTTCTTCACAAGAAACTCAAGAATGCCTCTTCCAGTTTTCCATGTAAGGCAAAGTCATCACAAGCTTATTTGATTTGGGAAACCTAAAGAACAGAACAAAGGAGCAAATAAAAAGGAAAGGGAAAAAGTCCAAGTATAAGAGGGCATAATAATGTTATAGGCAGGTATAAGAAACAGTAGGTGAAAGCTGAAAGTAAAGAAGTGAAACCTGCAACATTTCAACCATAAGACAAAATGGAAACAAAATCCTCAAACATAAAAGGGCTGAGCAGTCATTTAAAGTTTAGTACAGGCTTCTTTAATCCATTATAAAATCTAGCTACATTCTACAATAAATAAAATTATATTTAAAATATAGAATAATGTTTTCAGGACAATGTTTTAAAATATCAGGGAAAAATTATCATCAATATTTTTCTTATAGCCATATAATTAGCATTAGACTACCAGTTTAAAATCTTAATCACTACTCATTTAAAGGGATTATAATAATGAAAGGACATTTTAGTAGGAAAAGGGATAGAATCAGAGGAAAGATCAGTTACTTTAACATGTAAATCTAAACAGGAGATGATAAATGTTTACTTGGGAAAATGGCATTTTATTACCTTCTCAGTCTCCAAAGTTTTATTTTCAAATATGAATGAGATACAGTTTCTAACAACTTCCAGTCTCTGTGCACTGTTGAAAACTGTTGTCACCTTATCCATTATTGAAACTAGTAAAGAAATATAAAGAAAATACAACTGAATTAAACTTCTTTGGCAATTACAAAAGCAAGGGAATATTACTTCTAGACTGTTAACATGCTGAGCATGATGGTGCATGCCTGTGGTGCATCCTGAATCCCAAAGATTCAGGAGGCTGAGGCAGAAAGTTTCAAGTTCAAGGATAGCCTTAGCAACTTCATGAGATCCTATTTCAAAATTTAAAAAAGCTGAAAAGAAGCTGGGGATGTGGCTTAAGTACCTCTGGGTTCAATCCCTGGTATGGGAAAAATAAAAGACTTATAAACAACATTCAGAATTTTTTTTTCTCTTGTTATATGGAACTGAAGGTATTCCAATTCATTATTTCTACAGGATAGATTTTTTCACGTTATACTTTACTCTTAAGGAAATTATACCGTAAAGGTAAACAACTATTTAAAATTTCAATTGTAAACTAACTGTTCTGATATGGAATGTTTGGGATACGGGACAACAACAAAAATAGGTAATGTACAAGAGGACTACAAACAGAAAAAGCAGTCTTAAAATATTACCAAGGAAAAAATATATACCAAAAAAATTACATACTACAAATTTGTGCATATGGGACTTGAAGGGAAGAAGTAGTGTTAAAAAAAAAAAGTAAAGAAATGATTATGGCCAATGTATGGCTATTCTGGCTCAGGAAAGTCATTTTTCCCCCCTGTACTGGGGATTGAACTCAGGATTCCCACATGTTAGGCACATGTTCTACCACTGAGCTATGCTGCCAGCCCTTTTTATTATTTTATTTCGAGACCAGGTCTTATTAAGTTGCCTGGCTGGTCTTGAACCTGCAATCCCTTGCCTCAGCCTCCCGAGTAGCTGGGATTACAGGCATATACTCCATGTCTGGCAGAAAGTCATTTCTAATTTCTGCAAATTTTCTTTCAACACAGATTTGAAAAATTCTAATCTTTAAAGTTATCCAAATATATTTAGTTTATTAAAAGAATATTAGAAAGATATAAATGAAAGCAGTATTTGTAAAAAAATACTGTAATAAAATAAAAAGGATATTTTTCCAGGTGTGATGGCACATACTTGTAATCCCAGCAGCTTGAGAGGCTAAGGAGGACCTTGAGTTCAAAGCCAGCCTCAGCAACTTAGTGAGGCCCTAAGCAACTCAGTGAGACCTTGTCTCTAAATAAAACACAAAGAAGGGCTGGGGATGTGGTTAAGAGACCCTGGGTCCAATACTTGGTACAAAAAAAAAAAAAAAAGGATATTTTCACAAAGAACTATACCATATTTTTGTGCAAATGAAGTATTAATAAAGACAAAAAGTCAAATAAATGAAGCCAAAAAGAAAGATTTGTATATATGGCTATTTTTTAGAATCTAAAGGCACAATCTGTTCACCTCCCACATATCTAAAGACTACCATAGAATATTATACAGTTATGAAAAATCAATGATGAACTTATACAAGCTAAAACAAAGATAAACCTTGAAAATATTATGCTAATATTATGAAGGAAGTTAGTCACAAAAGATCAAATAGCATATTCTATTTATAAAAATTTATAAAATTCTATTTATAAAAATGGCCAGAAGAGGCAAATATATGAAGACAGAAGGCAGATTATTGCCTAAATCTAGAAAGGAGTTGATTTGGTGAGTAAATGGGAAATTACTAGTAGGTACAAGATATTCTATTTAGTTTATAAAAATGTTCTCAAACTAATGGTAATGGTTGAACAATTCTGTGAATATACTAAAAAAACTCACTGAATTGGAGAGTTTAAATGGGAGAATTTATGATATGTGGATTGTTTCTCAAAGAAAGCTATTTCATAAAAAGAAAAGATTTTACAGTGGTAGCATAGTTTAGTGATTATCTTTTGTGAGAGCAGTGAATAGAAGAGAGTTTCTCAGTGTTGATAATGTTCTGATTCTACTTATGTGACTTTGTTCACTTTGTGAAAATTCATCAAATAATATACTTTTCTTTTTTTGTGTCTTGTATCTTGATAAAAAATTTACTTTTAAAACAGACAAATACATACCAACAGGTGGACCTGCTGGCACAACACATTTCTTCTCCATTCGTGTAGCAGGAGGTGCATTCTGGTTCTTAGCAAGATTTTCCTGTATTAATTCCTGAACCCGAGCTTCATTAATTTTGGGGAAAGGAAGAATATGAACTCGCAAATGAGATCCTTCTGTTGGGCGTGGAACTTTCTGAAATGCCATATGAGGATTTGGATTCTCCTGCAACATCCAAATAGTAAATTATTTAAAAGTTAAAATAACAATGGCAGATAGTCAGAAAGGGCAGAGGAGCACAGAGGGACACATACTGAAATCAGACAGAGCAGTGATTATACTATATACATTCATATATATATGCCAAAACACAGAGTATCAGAACCAAACTTCTTCCATGATCTATTGGCAGCATCTGAGACACCTGGTCACTTGTCTTCGTCTTCCACAAACATTTTCTTTACTTGATTTCTGGGTCTTTTTGCTACTTCTTTGTCTATGTCCTTAATCTATTAACAATGTGAATACCTCAGGGTTCAGACCCTGACTCTCTTTTCTATTAAAACTTTGCTATTTGGTGATCACTTGCAATCTCCTATCTGTTAATCATAAAACACACTATGAGTTACAAATTCTTACTTCCAATCAAGCTCTCTCCTGAACTATATACCGATCTAATGAATTATTCAAATGAAGTATTAGCCCTTGGATTTAAAATAAAGTCTTCACTGTATGTCTAAGATGGCGCTCTTAATCTTTATCTATCTCTAAATCTGCATTCTTTAGTATTCTCCAGTTCAGTAAGTGTTACGTTTATATTTTTCTAATCACTCATGTGAATAGCTTTGTGTCATCTTTAATGCCTTTCTCTAATATCCAGTTATCCATTCCGCTGCAAACTTGCGGACTTTACTTTCCAAATATGTTTATAATCTTTCCATCTTTCATTGACACCTTGTTTCATTTCAATACCTCTCCTACTATAACAATACAATCGTCTCCTACCTGGTCTCATTGCTTTCACCCTTATTCCCTCCCTCAACTCTGTAGACAGAGTGATCCAGTTAAAAAGTATGTCAATTTGTCACATAACTCCTCTTTTCATTCAAATGGTTCTACATCTCAATCAGAGTAAAACTCAAAAGTTCTTATTTACAGGATCCTATAGGATCTGGCCTTTCTACACAATTTTTTGCCTTCATTCATTCCGCTCCAAATGCACAGACCTTCTTGTTCCTGCCTCGAGGCGTTTACACTTAGTTGTTCCCTCTGTCTGGAGTGCATTTCTTTGCTCAAATGCCATCTTTTCTTGCCATCCTTTAAAAAATTATACTCTCCCCCAAACACATTGCTTATTCCTTATTATATTTTTCTCTTTAGTGCTTATCACTATAAATTTTATTTAACTTATTTATTCTTCTCTCACTAAAATGCAGCTCCATGAGGTCAGGTGTTTCATTCAATTAAAACAATATATATTCTTTTGTCTTCTGCTGTATATTGGTTACATCAAGAAACTGTCTGCATGTAGGAGGTATTCTAAATGATTTCCTACTGAATTCTGATGAGTGGTACAAAAGATGAAACACACATCAAAATTGCAACAATTTAATTAAATGTGTCAGCTAATGAATTTTTATTATTGTTATTGTTTTTGGTGCTGGGCCTCAGGCATGCATCCATTGAGCTATATCCCCAAACCCTATCAGCTAATATTTTAAAAGATTTAAGACTGGCATGAACTTTTATTTGGCACCTAGTTAAGTGGAATTATATTTCAAATAATATAGACAGAATGGAATTCAGCCTTTCTATAAAATTCTCTAGAGAAGATTGCTTTACAACCCTTCTTAAGCCAATTAGCTAAGCATTAGTTATTTTTTAAAACCAGAAAGTGCCTATTCCTACTGAATTTGAAATCATGTTGTAGATTAAACTCAATATTACCTATACATCCTCCTGACAGTTAAAAATGGCCAACTGTCATCCTTTATTAGAACTGCTCACCACAATTCTTTTTGGCTTTGTGGCCCAGACCCAGAAAAAGGAAAGGCTGGACTAGGGCAGATGATACAGTAAGCAAATATCAGCAATATAATGAAAATAAGATTGCCTTAAGTGTAAAAGGTCTAGATTATAGCTTTTGCTTCACTCATTATATGATGCTGGACAAATAACTTTGCCTAAGATATGTACTTAGGTTATCTTACAATATTCCTGATAAGATAAAATCAGATACAAAATTTGTTCATACCAAAGTAGCCCTCATGAATGCTTTTTACTAACACTCTACATCATTTGCAAAGACAGGGAAAAATAAATAAGTAAATTCTTACTCTAGTGGTTATTCTTTCTAAAGCATATGTTGAAAAATCTTCAAACACTACTGGTTTGTAACTGAAATTGTTCTATCCAAAAAATGGTACATTTGTTCTCTGTTCATTAGACACAATTACTACCCATATGTTATCAAAAACTGTAATTAATAATTTCCTAAAACATATTGGGCAGATTTTTCTCTAGGCTGGAAAGGTAATTCATGTTGACCTTGAGGCATGAATCATTTAAAGTATATTCTCTACTACTTCTATCTATTTATACCTATTTTTTTAATAAAAATAATCAAAATTCAAATGTTTACCATAAAAATAATATTCACTATAAGTTTTAAAACATGAAAAGATAAAAGTAGAAATCTCCTTAATTATGCCAATATCTTTTATACTTATATTTTATCTGTCTACCTTATGTCTTGTTTCAAAAATGACTTATTGTGATTCAGAAAGTTAAGATTGCATATAACACTTGTAAGCAAAATTCCTAAAGAGTTTGCCATGTAATATGACAAGTTAGTCCTGAACTAATAGGGAAGAACAAAGATGCAAAATTAGTCAAGGAAATTCTGAATAAAAGTAAGAGGAGAGTCAAGCTTTCCATATATCAAAATTTATATAAAACTTATATAAAAAAGAATTAACAAAGTACGACAATTAACATTAGTGAAGGGCTAAATGATCAAACAGAATAACCAAAGAGCTCAGAAATAAGATTAGACGTGAAAATGTGATAGAAACAGATGGCATTACAATTCAGGGAGAAAGGTAGTCCACTTCTAGTTCATGTCTCTGATTTCAGAATGCCTTGGTTCAAATCCCAGCTTGGCTGCTTTCTATTATTATGAGCTGGTACAGTGTCAATTCACTTACCCCATTGTGTTTTAGCTTACTCACATGTACTGAAGATAATAGTGTGGTAGCTACTTCATAAGGTTCTTGTGAGGATTGTTGCAAGCTGTTACAGGAAAGCTCTTCCAACACAGATACAGTGTCTCTCTTTCCCCTTCCCAGAATAAAACTAAAAGCTGTTTTCCAAAAATCTAGATTGCATTTATATGAAAAATACTTACTCATTGCATATTCTTTGGCATGGCATCATACTTCTGAAATTAAAAGCATTCCTTCCTACCAAGAGTCTCATCACATCACCAGCTACTTATATTTTAATATAAGAACGACAACAGTAATATTAGTAGTAGTACCCAGTAAGAGTTTAAATATATATCACCTTTGATGGTACTATGTTATTAACAGCCTTTCCATATGCAATCAGAAATACTACAAAACAAATTCATACACAATCAGAATAACAAGCCATTTAAAAATATGTTAAAGTTCAAAGTTGAGGCAATTTATAGTTGTATAAAAATTCTACACTAAAATACAGACCACAGGTTAAATCTGCTAAATTATAGTAATTCCAATTGTTTTTAGAAGATTCAAAAAAGACTCGCATGCCCTCAAATCTCATGTTGGTTTTCTGGCTGTGTCTGGGCACTGCTGCCCTCTAATGGTCTGCATGAAAAATGTAAAGGATTGCATTTGCCAACTTAAAACTAACTAGGTCCCCCCCCCATACTTCTTCTTTTTCTTTTTCTTTTCTTTTTAAATATTTTTAGTTGTAGATGGGCACAATACTTTTATTTTATGTGTTTATTTTTTATGTGGTGCTGAGGATCAAATCCTGTGCCTCACACATGCGAGGCAAGTGCTCTACCACTGAGCTACAAACCCCAGTTCTCCCCAAAGACTTCTTGAGAAGACGTCAATAATGAGAGGGAAATCAGGTTATTGTTCATCAAACTCTACATGTTCTTAGGAATATCTCCTCTTATTTGTAACTCCAAATGAATCTGAACTGGTCCCTTGAAAGTTAGTAAGCTCATTAAAAACTAGCCCAATTTTGTTGAACTTCCTTGTTGAAGAAAGGAAATCCCTTCTTTTTCAACAGTACAAAGTAGTAGCCAATTTTTAAAATCTTTGATGCCAAAGAAATGCAAATACAAAGTAATAACCAAAAATTTAGAGAACAAAACACTTATAATAATCCCAGCAACAATTTTGTCCAAGGCCACCAAAATGAGGTACCCAAGAAAGCCTGGCATAATACATTATCTTTTGTGTGTGTGTGTATGTGGTGGTTTCTGAGGATTGAATCCAGGGAAGTTGCACTATTGAGTCACATTCCCAAACCTTTTTCTTTCTTTTCTTTTCTTTTCTTCTCTTCTCTTTTCTTCTCTTTTTTCCTTTCCTTTTTCCTTTCTTTTCTTTTCTTTTCTTTTCCTTTTCTTTTTGTTGAGACAGGATCTTGCTAAATTGCTAAGCCTGGATTTGAACTTCTAATCCCCCTACCTCAGGGTTGTAAATCACTGAGATTATAGGTGAAAATGAACTATCATTAAGACAGAATTTTGGATAATGATTTTCAAGAATGGTCTCTGTAATCCAGATTAAGAGTACAGTACAGGGACTGGAATTATTTATACCTCAGCACTCACACACCTAGCATGTGTGAGACACTGGGTTCAAATCCTCAGCACCACATAAAAATAAATAAATAAAATAAAGGTATTATATCCATCTACAATTAAAAATAAAAATTAAAAAAAGAGTAAAGTACAGTGATGGGAAATTCAATGATTTTTCATTTTTTCTTGAAAAAATGATATTCATCATCTGGTCTAGAAACAGATTTTTCTCTTTTTTCTTTCCCTTTAGCAGACTAGCTGTGAATGTGTAGGGCTGAGAATATGCTCCAAATAAAAGCCAAACAAAGCCAAATAAAGCAAAACCCCCTAGCCCCCCAGAAATTTCAAAGTAGGCAACAGTCACATGGAGAAAAAAAATCTTTCTTCACATTGGTCTTAGCAGTGAATGACAAATTAGTGT